ATTCTTTGACTTACTCTCATCAGATAACAGGTCGTAAGACCCTCCTCATTCCATAGGTTTCTGCTCCAAACCCCAGAGGGGAAGATTGCTACACTCGAAGTCCCAAAGCTGGACTGGACCCAGCTTTCCCCACTCAGTCTATTAGCCTTAGGCCAGGCCCTTTTTCTTCCATCATGTTTACATGCAGATGACTATGCTCCAGTCATACCTAACGGCAAAGTCTCCACAGCAACCCAACAGGTTAGGATTTAGAGTTTTCAGATTGTTGAGCACAGGTGGGGGCTGGCCTTCTGGATGGGTGGCTTTCCAGAGAGGCTGTAGCTACTCCATGCCCTTCCCCATCTTCATCCAGGTCCTTTGCAATATGTCATAACAAACAGTAAACACTAGCATTTCCCTAAGTCTTAAGCCACTCTACCAGGTTAACTGAGACCTAGGGCAGGTTCTTGGTCTAGAGATGACCAATAGAAACCAGTGAAATACCGTCTCAGACTATGACTGGTATCAGAAGAGGCAAGGGGCTTTGAGGGCTGTGCCTGCAACAGTGGGGTCTGGTGCTGTCTTAGTGTCAGAACCCAATGAGCTTAAAGGACACTCATCTGGTGTCTGCAGCAGAACTGCCTGTGTGTTTGTTCCTGAGGAGAAATCCATACACCTTCAGTGCTGATGGTGATGCAAGATAGATGGAAAATAGACCTTTTGCTCTGCTTTGTGACCATGGGAAAGTGACACAAAGTTTCTAGTCCTTGGAAGTCATATGGTTGGAGCAATCATCAGGTCACCATGCTGCTCTTAGAATTCATAAGGTGAGCCTATGAAAATGCTTTGTTAGCTCTGAGCTGGGATATGCACAGTTGTTTTCCATTTTAATGTGGAAGATGTAGACTGAATGAAAAATTAAAATGAATTTATTTACCAGACAGAAAGTGAGAACCTAAGAGGTGTTACTGCAAAAGATTGGTGTGTTGGGGTATTTTAGGAAAGCTAATCTGGCACTGGAGCAATGGAGAAGGAGAAATAATGGAGAAGGGGAACTAACTTGGAGGCCAGTACATTGGTCCAGTCAGGAGCAGCCTGGATCCTGAGATCGGGGGATGACTAGAAAAAGAAGGAACCGGGGAAAATATTCGGTATTATTTCTTTCATATACAGCTCACTGTTCATAGGAAGAATTTGAACTTTACCCTGAATTTGGGGAAACTGTCAGACAGTGAGGCCAATTCAGAGATGGGTCTATGAGGAAACAATCTATGATACTGAACAGAGCAGCAAGCTACACTCACAAACCTTCCCCAACTCAGTTAAAGTAAAGTAAAGCAAAGCAAAGCAAAGCAAAACAAACACACCCAATACTTGGAGCCTGCTCTCCAAAGTAAAAATACGCATTTTCTTATAGTTCAGAGAAATGTGATGAAAGACGGACAGAGAAAGCATCTTCGTGGGAAAGCACAAATGCCCAGAAGGTGGTGTCAGTTAAAAGTGGATTGGTACTCACCAAATCAGCCTCATGATGTTTAATCAGAGGAAGTGTCAACCTGAGATTGTGGGTGGCACATCTTCTTTTCATGCTTTGGAAACACATGAGAGGCCCGGGATCGTGGATTAAAGATTAACTCAGAGGCTAGGAGATCCTGGGAGCCATTTGCTAACACAGACATATGTGTTCCAGGGGAAAAGGAGGTTAGAATCTGAAAGATGATTCTAGGGTGGGGTGTAAGGCCCCAGAGAGGGGAACAAGGAACTGGGTCAACAACAGGCTAGGTGCCTCTCAAACCTCATTTGCTCCCATCTTACTGACAGGACCTCATTTTGCTCCAGGTAGAAATATGCTCTGCAAAAAGAATAAGCATCTCCTAGCTTATGTTAAATCTAGCGGACTGTAAGATCCCAATAGGCATTATTTTGCATGGGACTTCCCTAAGTATTTCCAAATGGGCTGTGTATCCTTTAGCTGTCCCCAACCCTTAATTGGAATGAGGAAATACTGGCCAAATACACACCATCTCAAAGAGCAAGGATGTCATTCAAACCTAGCTGAAGCCGTGCTTCCTGGCTCCTAAATTGCACCCTTTATACCCTCTGTGTTCCCTTTCACTGGAGTGGCTCCTTTCAAAGTACTTTCGCAGCATAGCATCCACAATGCATTGATTTCTCAGCACTGTAAACTGCTGAAGAAAACTGAGGGCCACGGCAACATGTACTGGGAGGGGCTGGGTGGTTCTAATGCCGAGTTCAAAAGAGGCATCTAAATGCTGACTAAGCATGCGATCCTCCTAACCCGCCCTGGCCGCACAGCATGGCTGCATCTGTCAGGGATGAAGGGGGCATGCACACACAGGGCAGATGTGTCCAGATTCTTGACGATGCCTCCAATTCTCTGGAGTCTGAGTCTGAAGTCCCCATTCTCTAGCTGGATTTTCTTGCGAACTGAGCTCTGAGAGAAGCTTGCCCAGAACACTGGATTCTTCCTCATTAGGCCAGCTGCTTCTTTTCTTTGCTCTCCCACTTGCCAGAAGGGAGACGGAAAACCTATCTCCTGTTGCAATCTCTGCTTCCAACAAGAATCTGTGACCTTGGAAAGAGCACTGGTTTCAAATGCTTGTCTGAGCCAAGAAGACTGAGCAGGCGCGGTGCTGTTCTGGTCAGGCCACCTGGTACAAGGATGATAGGAGACCAGAAAAACCACACCTAGTCTGCACGAGAAGAAATGATACTGAGTGTGTGTGCATGTTGGGGGCGGCACAGATATTTCATTTCCTGATGCCTCCTCACTTTTTTGTTGTTCTCTCACATGGGGTGAGCGAGCAGTGACCAGGTTCCTAATGTCTGAAGGGCCACAGAGAGGCCAGCACTTCTGGACCCAGTCCCAGGGAAAGCAGGTTTTGTGTGCTTATGGGAGGAAGCAGGAGCAAGTCTTCCTGTGCCCAGGCAGGCAGAGAGGACAGAAGGCTCTCTACCTTGGGCAAACTTCTCTCCATCTAGGCAGGGCACAATCTCTCTTTTACCTCTGCTTCCTCCCCGCGGCCCCGTGGGAGTGGAGTGAACAGGTGCTCACACACCCGCTTGGACTGGCCGTTCATCACCAAAGAGTCCTGCGCCAGCAGCTGCTCAACCCTTCCCGGCTTGCAGGCTGCTGCAGCGCACATGCACACCGAAGGCCTGGGACTTCCAGCCAGGGAACTGCAGGGACAGGGCGACGCGGCTGTCTGGAGACTGGGCCGCGGACTTACAGCCTGCACGCCTTGAGTCCCACCAGCTGCGAGGCTGGAGGATCAGGACAGGGTCAGCTCTGGGGAGCACCTGGGCGGGCTGGAGCTGAGGACAAGCCTCCGTGTCCCCCTTGCGGCAGACCGGTCAAATGGAGATGCCACCCTTTACCCACCTCCACAGCCTGGTGGGTTGCAGGGCTAGCCCCTGGGACAGGGATGCTATACCCGCTAGATGGGCGCGGCCCCAGACTTCAGGGCGCCCACTGCGGGCGGGACTCTGCCAGCGCAGCCTGAGCCCGGGAGGCCACTGTGGCTGCGGGAGGTCACCTGCATAGTCCCTGCGCTGCTGCTGCCTCACAAGTCAGGCTGGGCCTGTGCGGGCTCGGGCGGTGCCCTCAGAGTCCCGCGCTGCTGCACGCCTGTCCCGCTGCCCACCCCAGGCCACACAGATAACCACTTCCCGCACCCTGGGAAGCACACCTGCCCCAGACGGCCGGCATCTTGGTCGAGGTCACAACCACCTTGCCTTTAACTCCAGGAGCGGTTCAGTCCTGTTGTAAGAGGCTTGCTCTCCAGGCATATTAAAACTAAGTTTTTGCTTGCCTTTTGTTAGGAAACTTTTAATCACACAGAATGTAGGTTCTAATCGGCCAGGCTTTTAACTGGCCCAGAGAAAAAGCTTCCCCGTTTTTAACACTGGCTCTGGGGGCTGCTGGAAAACTGCCACCGAATTTAGGCTCGAGTGAAGGTTAGCAGGATTTACCATTGTTTCCCCGGGGTGTTTAACCGTCACAGGCGCCTTTTCTTTCATTTAAGATACTTTCAAAAGAAAATTCTGGACAACGCTTTGGCTATTTGTTTTGTTTTGTTTTAAAAAAAATTGTTTGAGCCCTTTAATCCAGAAACCGTTCTAAAACGGGGAGGAGGGAGCACTGGAGACTGACAGCAGCTGTGTGTCAGGAAGTAATAAGTATCATGCAAAAATACCACAGCTAATAGATATCCGTTATAAGTGGAAATATCTATGTTTAATTGCTTTTAAACTGTAGGGTGGAGAACACAATTATACACTATAACAAACCTGTACAGAAAAATCCTGAACAATACAAAACAAGTGCTAATATTTTTTCTTCATGATTGAAATAATTGTCCCCAAATTATGACACTGTAACCTCCCCCAAACACTGTTTCCTTCTCTGAAAATGCTTGAAGAGGAATAGTTCTTACCAACCAAATACATTTAGTTTTGTCTTTAATAAACAGAAAATTGCATAGCTTTTTAATATTGTTGTACATCCTCAAATGCGTCTTTTAATTTCATGGTTAGCTCTTGATATTTTAAAACCTTAATTTTCAGAGATACACATATGAGTCCTAGCAATTATAGACACATTTTACTCATCTGATTTTCATAACATGCATTTTCATAATTACTGTACAACTGAAATAGACATTGAGTTATGCTGTGTGCATGTCTTTATTCAGCAATATATTCTTAGACACCTTGTTCAAACAAATTAAGTAAATTTAAAAGAAACTAAAACAGGAAAGAAAAAATCCTGCCAGTAGAGAGAGAATCACAGTGCGATACAGACAAAAGGGAAGGAAAAGAATTTCTCATACGAAAAGAGATTTATTATGACATAGAAAATGTTCACAATTGTTGAAACACACTTCAGAAACTAGTAAACACCTTAGATAGAGTTGTGCCAATTACTCATCCTGCAAGCATCTGCTTTGTCTTAATTAGAGTGGGAGGTGAATGACCACTGTTTATTTTCATTTTCCTCATTAATTATGAAAAACTGCATTTAATTCATCTTGCATAGTGAGAGATTGGCTGCGCAGATGTAAGTCATAAGGGAAGTGGCTGTCGGTGGGCAACCTGAACATGGCACCCTGCCCAAGGGGACCCCTGGGTGGCACTGCACAGTAATGCATGCCATAATTGTAATTTTTGCCATAGTCCAAGGTTTCTTCTTGCTTCAGGGAAAATATCCCATTATAGTTAATTGGGGGAGGACTTAAGGGACCTTCAAACTGAGGGCTGGCACACTCAGGGGAAGTACTTTCATAGAAGGATTCATACGCACTGCAGTAATTGTATGGTTTCATGGACTTGGAATTATCAAGAGTCCCATGCCCTGGGGGAGTGGCCAGCTCAGGGCTGTGGTAGGGTGGGTAGAATGTGGAGTAGGGTGACCTTGTGTGGTGTGCAGCCTCCCCACCCTGACCCATCAGAAAACTCCTGGCGTTGAGCTGTAAGCAGCCTGCCACCAAGTTTGTAGTTGGCTGGGAAAGACCTTTGCATAAGTTTTGGACGAACGTGAGCAGATCTGGTCTCTTGCCAATCCTCAGAATTTCAGAAAGTGCCCAGATGTAGTTTTTGGCCAGGCGTAAAGTTTCTATTTTGGACAGTTTTTGGGTTTTAGAGTAACAGGGGACCACTTTTCGCAAATTGTCCAGAGCGTCATTGAGGCCGTGCATCCGGTTCCTCTCGCGCGCATTGGCTTCCTGTCTCCTGAACTTGACCCTTTCCAGTCGTAGCTTGGTGGTCTTTTTTTTCCTGAGACCCCTCCTTCTGGGCAAGCCATTTTCATCCTCTTCTTCTCTGTCTTCCTCCTCCTCTTCTTTCTCGGTTTCTTCTCCAGGGGCCCGTTTAATACTCTTTCCTCGAAGGACAACTTGTTTGGGAAAGCTCTCTGGTTTCTTAATTTGTTTCTGGTCCTCGCATTGTCTAGCAAACTTTCTGCACATCTGGGATTCGGGCATTATGACAGACTCGTCAAACGGTAGTGTTAGCATGGTTCTTTAACCTTAAATTACCTGAAAAAAAATGCCAGCACAATATTTAAAGTGTTTTCATTTTTAGAGTTTACACACTTCAAATATATTTGATGACTTAATCGTAAGGCTCTGAGAGCACATGAAAAAAGACGGGTTCCAGGACTCATATTCACATTAAATTAAAAAACTGATTTTGTGCAGATTAACAATCATAAAGATACTGATCCATGCAGTAGCATTAATTTATACAGGCAAATTATCAAAAGAAAATATAAAATACTTATTAGAAACAATCACATTTCCCATTTCTTTTGGATTGTAAGCTAGATTTTTAACACACACCAAGTGGAGTTCAAGAAAATAAAAGCATAATATAATAATGCAGATTTTTATTAATTCTAATTCTCCTGAGAACAAAATAGAAGAGAAATCAATTTTCAAAACGAAAAGTGCTACTTCTCTCTTAAGCTGACAAATTTGAGGGGTTTTTGTCAGAAAAAATTAACCCCAACATTATTTTCTGTTAACATCAGGCTATGCATTTTTGATAAGTGACTGTAGAACACATGAATTTAAAGAAGAGATTAATTAGATCAATTTTGAAACTGATTTTTTTTCCCCTGATGAGTAAAGAACTATGTAAAAAGAGTACAGCTTTCTCAGCCTCAAGGAAAGGTACATTAGGCTAATTGAAAATACAACTATAAACAAGTGAAAAAACCCACAAACATTACTGGCATTTTTTTTAAACAAGCAAATGTTGCAACTGCTTTAACATCTAGGAATTCCCCCAATGTAATTGTCTGTTTACTGCTGTTCCGCTCCTAGCGTTTTTGTTCTAAGAGCTACGGAAGTCTCCCTCTAGCTAATATCGGACAGGAACGGTCCAAGGATTCTGCCTGCAATTGTGCACGTGTGTTCAGAATCCCAAATGAAAGGGGGAAATAATTTGTGTTTAAAATGCAATTTTGGTTTTTGTTGGGTGAAGCAGCAAATATTTTCATCTAAAGTCTTCAACCAAACAGGCATATTAAAACAGAGACTTTTAATTTAACAATCTCCAGCCCCCCTACACACACACACACACACACACACACACACACACACAATGTCCACACATTTACAATGTTACATAATAGCAGTGAAAGTATGTGATAATTACACCATAAGAATGAAATATGATAAGAACTTATAGATGGCAAAGAACATAGGAATAGTCTAAGACAGTGATACTGTATCTTTAAATACTTGCATGCAAAGCCAGCATCAATTGAGTATATCTTTATTTATATTACCTTAGGTTTTAATTTCATTCAATAATCAGTTTTCATTTTGGATCTTCCAAATCTTTTCAGGCTGAGTGTCGCATCGTCTCCTGGAGCCTCTAGATCTGTGTGTATCTGCACTATCTCATTGATCTCTAAAAAGTGACATTGATGCCAACTGCCAGAGCTGGTACCCATGCCATCTGCTAGTGACGTCACAGGGCAGAGAGAGCCATGTGATCCTCTCTTGGGACCTTCATTCTGCACTGATCATCTGGCATCCCTGTAAGTGGGTACCAGCATTCATGCATCAACACAGGAGGTTAGACTGATAGGGAAAAAAATCTGCACCAGCCTTTCACATACAGTAGGTGCATTTCTCTTCGAGCTGCTTGGATCTCACTGGCAATCTGTAGAAAGAGCTGTGTTAGTGATGGGTTTTGCCCTGCCAATGGTACAACTGTTAGGCAGTCGTTAATATTCCATTCATTTGCAAGGTGGGCTTTTGTGTGAGTGAGAGAGGTTTTTGTTGTTTGTGGGGTTGCTGTTTTGTAAAGATCACCAGCTTCACTTCGGTGTATCTGGGTACCAGGGAAGGAGAGCCTTGTATGGGAGCTAGAAGCCGGGCTTGGGTGCCGAATGCAACCAAGATTAAGCTTGACAAATGGGTCAGCAAAGGGTTCTTATTCCTCTGTTTTGCCTTACTGCATGTAACTTAGGCGTTTGTGTCTGTGTGTTCTTCAAATTCATTCAGAATTCTTTGCTGCTCAGGGTTTCAGAATAAAAGATCAGTTTCTTCGTCTGGGGTCTGTGAGAGACATCTTCAAATGCTCCCTTACACTTGCTGCCGTCTTTCCCACAACTTTTCAGGGAGAATTTATGCAGACAGAACGATACAAAGATCAATTGCAGAGCCATAGTGAGTCTTTGGTTAGATTTGAAGCTTCATGTTTGTGCCCACCGCTGAGCACTAACTCTACTCGGTCACCCTCCCTGATCTCCCAGTGTTAACCTGCTTGTGCCTTCTCAATTCAGACAAGATGAACAGAAAAACCATTACTCATGTTTGCAGCTTTCTCTCCTTGATGTGCTGCAGGACATTTTTTTTTTTTTAAATCTAGGATTTAGCTTTCTTGAGTTTTCAATATTTTTCTCTGTCCTACCAATTTCACCCTTGCAACTTTGTTTCCTCTAGATCCACATTCAGGTAAATGTCTTACTGTTTTAACGTCTGTGTCCTGTTGTTTTTCCTTAGCAGGTGTATTTCTCCCTTTCCCTGATTCCCCCTTCCTGGTGCCTTTTTAATGAAGCAAGACAGAAGCAGTTAAGCAGAGCTGGCAAAGCCCTTCTAACAAAGCAGGATGTAAAGCTAGAGGCCAACCTTACTGTCCTCTCCTTTCTCTACTCCTCTGAAATGCCTCCCTCCCAAATGGATTTATTATTTTAGGAATGCCGGAAAAGCATAAAAAGTTAACTTTTAAAAAAGTAAAAGAAATAAACAAATAAACACATGCCTTATTGTTTGACAGCTGCATAATCTCCGGCTCTAAAGTGAACGAGTATGCTTTTGGTCTTAGTGTAATCCCTGGCAGCCTGGCACCGCTGAATCTGTGTTAGCATTCCCCTTATAAATCCCACCTTTCAAAGGTTTAGGATTCTGCTGCTGTATGCACTTTGGATCCAAATTGGCACCAAGGACCTTACCCAGATTCAACTGTGCTCCTCTTGCTCCCCTACAAAGTTTGCCTGACATTCTCTCTGGACCATTGTAGAAAAGACGGAGGGTTGACAAAAAGAAAGGTGCGAGGTAAAAGTGCACATAGTTAGTCTCTCTTGAAGGGGGGGTAAAAAAAGTGTAAAATTGAAACAATAGTAAGCCTATTCATTTATAGGTTAACATAAGTAGGTGGGCCTAGCTCACATTTTAAGGTAAAACGTGTCACATCCGTAATTTTAGAATTTGCAGCTGAATATGTCTTTACTAATGATCATGTTGAGTAGTATATTTCATGTAGCTTTTGGTTTAAAATCTAGGTATAGTTTTTGTATCAACACCAAGAATTTCAATGGAAAGGCCAGATGCGGAAGTCAGTTGTCCTCATGTGTGGTTTAGTTTTTAAATGTGAAAGAGGGAAAAGCTCAGAGTCCCGAGCGACAAAGTAGACAGAGCTGTCTTGAATCTCTCATATTGCACCTGTTCTAAGTCCCCAGGAGCTACATTGTGTTAAATATGTCACAGACATAAAAGTCAAAATCCAGGGATAACCTGATTTGATGTGTCCATAGAAAATTATCGTCAGTGTAGCAAATGGAAAGGCTGATCCTATATTTTATTTTTACATGTGCATAAAAAGAGAGAAAAATTAATGAAACATTGGTGGCAGTTCTGTTCCTGTCAGTAACATGAAAGTAAACCTTTGGTAGTGATGATGTTGGAGACAAAGATTATCCAATATTTTGAATTATTTCAATATTAATTTTTGAAAGACTTAGTTTTTCTTTATTCTTCAAATGAAATAAGTAAATAAATAAATAAATAAATACAAAGACCAGGATGGGCATTTGGAATTATCACGTGATGATTTATCAAGGATTCAGTGTGTTTATACAATAATTTTCAAGAAATTTTGTTATGCATTTTCTAGGGTAGTTCCAGGTATGCAAATGTCTGTGGTGTCTGTTAACATGTATTTGTACCAGCTACCAGAGTGGTTGTTCTCAACTCTGCTAGGAAAGCATATTAACACCAAGACTCTAAACAGATTTACACCCAGATACTCAGAACCTTGGCCAGGAAGTTGTCATCCCTTCTATCATTTTTTTTTCTCATTTTACAGCCATTCCTCTATACCAAACTTTTCCTCTATGAATGGACTCTACTCTAATTTAACTGCTGTGATTATTTTGTTAACATTTCTGTTGTTGTTTCTGAGGTCATGACATTTTACAAATTTTTGAAGTGTCCAGCGCCCGTCAGTATGCCATTTCTTGCTTTCACCAGCTGAGTGCTCATCTATTAATTACAGAAATCAGCTTCAGACAATTTAGACATGATTTCATGATTTGGATTTTTTTTCAGGAGAATGAAATCCACAAGTCCAAAAAATGAAGCAGGTCCAGGAACTTTTATTTTCAGCTACTCTGTCAGTACCTACGTCTTGTTTTAGCATATAGGGCATTTCTGTGCATCAATGGCAAAGGGCAGCAGGGCACACTCTGTAGCTGAAACCTCAGAACACAGTTCCTTCTGCAGATGTGGGCACTTCTGAGGGGCTGGATAGATTTTTTTTCTCTAAGGTGAGTGCTCCAGGGAGTCCGGAAACTGCCTTGTGTGAGCAGGCTCAGTGTAGGTTTACTGAGCTTTAACTCTTCAATTCCCACTGGGCTGACATGGTTTTATGGTGTGGCAGATTATATCCCACATTGGGAAACAGCCCTGGGATTGAAGAAAGTCATTTAGGTAATTAAGCAAGTCAGAAAGCATCCTTGCTCCCCCTGATTTCTTTCAGGGCTTAAAATAAACAGAAGGTTGGCAGGGTTTTGTTCACACCCTCATGAAGATTATTTAATAAACCGGCCTTTAAACTTGCCTAAGGTGAAGGCTGGACTGCAGGGTATGATGCCTCCTAGTCTCACACAAGGCCACGCCTGTCAGTCTTTGGCTGCAGGCTCTGCTAGAAGCAGTGCTGGGCTCTTTCCAGAAGCATATTTTATCATTTTCCCCTACAGACTGTACTTTTCACGTATTCTTCA